TTCCATTTTGTTGCCTATGACTATCACCACTAGTTATACACAGCACCACCTACTGGCACACCAGAGTTAGTCCTCCACCCTGCAGGTACTGTAAATACTGGAAATAATGCATCTTGGAACTTAAAAACATTGCCCCAAAGCATTGATTATGGGTACAGGTAATAGCTGCCACTATTGTGGGGGGAAAAAAGAAGAAATTATTTTCCAGATGTATCGAATGTGGCCCTTGTCTGAATTTGCTACGTTTGTAGCTCAGATCCTTCCTTCCTGGATCCAAAAAGCATTAACAGTGGCTTAGGCAGTCAGTGAGACATTAGTAAGTATGTACAGTAGCAAAGCTGCACTTCCTTGCTGTGTGATTGAAAATGAAAATTTACACAAACATACGAAACAGAAAAATGCAATTTGTTTTGTACTCTGTGTAAATTTGTGTACCTTCCTTAGCCTTTGTCTGAAAAACACAAAAATGGCTTGACGTGTTTGAAAATCATTATGCTCTATCGATTTGGCAGCTAATGGCAGAGATTCTAGTTTCACTGGAGTGAAAGAAACAGGTGACATGTTGCCTTGGTTGATGCACTCCGGGGTAAAAAAACAAACAAACACAAGTGTCTGGAATCAGAAAGGAAAGTAAATTGACTATTTTTTAGTTCTGTTGCCCACTGACTCTGCTCGGGGACTAATTCGTACTGTTTTCTCCAGGTAGACAGACAGGGGGAAAGCTCCCTGGAGCTTCTGAGGAAAGTAGTCTAATGAAGGGAATCCAGGCCGAACACTGTACTGAAATAAAACAGGAGGGATTAAGACAGCCAAGTTCCTGCATGATATCATTTCACAAAAAGCTGGAAATACTCTTGCTTCATTCCACTCGTCTTTCTGCCTCCCTCCCCTGGGTTCACTGCTCGCTCTACAGGAGGTCCTGACATCTTCGTCCTGCGGCTGGGTGCTGACAATCAACCAAGCAGGTCAATCCAAACGTTTCTGATGACCCTTCCTTAAAGCATTTTTGTATAGGGTGTCGCCATTCCTCGTGAAACTGCGAAAAGTGAAGGGGAACGAATGAGCAGTTGCAAAGAGACAACGACTAGGAGACACAGAGAATGGGATTTTCTATGTGAGGAAATGCTGTTGACCATTCCACTGCAGGTGATTGAAGAGGATTATAAACGTCTCATGGGCAGTCTGGTTTGTGGTCAGACCGGTGTGAACAAACAACTAGGTTAACCAAAGGTTTTTGCTATTAAGTGAGCTTCCACAGTGGATTTCTGGGCCCCCGTAACTATTATTGACTGCCAGCGGTAAAGGCAGAAAAGCGCTGTGCCCTGAGTGTGCATGTCCCAGCGGCCTGTGACATCAGAACCTGAAATTCCAGACCTGCGATGGCAGACCCAGGAAACATCAGGTACTTCACTTGGGACACCCTGAGAACAGACCCAGCAGGGAAGAACATCAGCCCTGGACTTTACAGAAACTACTCACAATCTATTATAATTAATCTACCTCAAACACCTTGCTTGAGGGATCATGGGATCCCCAGAGGTTTCTTTCCTTTGTTTTTTTTTAATGTGGTCTGCTGTTTTTGTATACTGTAAGTACCTGCTCTGTGAGTCAGGAAAGGGCTCTGTGGTAACGGAGGAAAATGAATGTGCTGTAAAATGGCTCACAGGTTATATTATAAAAAAAATCTCAATCTTGAGCTAAGATCTTTTTCACAAGAACACAGCACACAGTAGTGTCCGAAAAATATAAAAGGAAATCCAAATTGCAAACAAGATTACATTTTTTCCAAAGAAAAGAAAATGATACTACCTGCAGGAACCATCCTCTGTACATCCTAAATACTGCAGACCCATTTCAAACAAAGCAACATCCTTAACGTAAAAACATGGTCGTAAACCCTCCATAGAGTCCTGACCAACGCTTCATTACAGGTTCGTGAACAGAGTTTATTGGTGAGGCAGTTGCATGACTTTAGTGGAAAGCAATACCATCAACACTGCCTTTTCCTTATTTCTATAACCCGAGAGTGAATAATAACATAAAACAATCTCTGGTGAATGGTGTATTACTGTACATTTTCACATGATTGAAGTTTTTGATAGGATAATTTTTGTCAATGTTGATTTCATGGATATATAGAATGTGTGTGGTTGTGTCAGTGTATTCTATTGTAAGTATTGTGCTGAATCTGGGTGTGATTTTTATTTCTAACGGTATTGAAATAGTTAAGCCAGAAAGTTGTTGCCAGGAGAAAGGAAACTTTTGTTGGCTTGTACCTCTCAGCTACAAAATGCTCACTGACGTGTTTCTGATCATGACAGTTGACAAAGGCTGCAGCTGAACAGCTAAAAAAAACTAAATACTTTTGAGGAGCTGGAGAAAAGCCTTGTCTGTTTTATCTTTAAAGTCAAGTGTGGAAATACATAGTGGGATAAGTGTATTGTCAATGCTAATGTAAGATTTCAGGCTCATGCCACAGTCAATCTATTATTGATTTGCTTATTATTTGACCCTGTTCCACATTATCGATTCCTTGGGTAATACAGTATTGCCTACAATTGTAAGTTGAGAAAGTCACATTTCTTAGAGAGTCTCAAGAAAACAAGCAAAATGCCTATTTCTGTAATCAATTACCCCCTTTGTTGTCTAGTTTATACTGTAGATTCAATATGAGTTACATCAGGGAGTCTCCCAAGTGTAAATGTGAACTGTATCCTAGGGTTTCCAGGTATACAGGGGAACTGTACCCAGGAGTCCCCCAGGTGTAGAGGTGAACTGTACCCAGGAGTCCCCCAGGTGTAGAGGTGAACTGTACCCAGGAGTCCCCCAGTGTAGAGCTGAACTGTACCCAGGAGTCCCCCAGGTGTAGAGCTGAACTGTACCCAGGAGTCCCCCAG